TGTTTATAATGAGTAAAAATTTGTATTATAATTAGTAAATAAGTACTAAACAGTTGATTTTTTTTCCTTTTGTTTAAAGGAGTGTGTATTTTTTAAATTGAATTAAAAAATGTGCAACGTTAAGCGAAGTTATTTAATAGAATTAAAATTAACTACAAAAAAATATATACTACATAGAACGACACAAATTGAAATAACTTTCTGCATTCGAATCTATTTTACAATACTTTGTTTCCTTATTACACTGACATTCCATTTACTTTGAACCACGAAAATAAACATAACTTTCCCTGCTCGTTTACTCAATCAGAGTTTGTCCTTTCGAAAACTGTCTAGTTTGTTTCGTGGAAACGTGTTAACTTTCAGAATTTTCGCTAATGGATTTTTCTATTCGCGGCAACGTTGATAAAATGCAATAACAACCTACCTTTGTATGCCTTGCATAAATAGAGACGGCGCTGCACATAATCCCGGCATTCGGATTACGGATAGGTTTACTGATAAAAATGTTTATAGATGTATAATATTTCTCATGTTAAAAAGTGGCAAACTAGTACACCTGATGTTAAATGATAACCGCCACCCATATACATTTGCAATACCCGTAAGGGTACAGATGCGATGCCACTTTTAATCCAGACGTAACGCAGAAGTGTAACACTTCTCCTTCACGCCGGTCTTCTGTGAGGTCGAGGTACTTCCCCGAACGGACTAGCCCATTCTTTCAAGAGCGTTTTGCAATTCTGTTTTTGCAGGGTAATCTTCAAAAGATACCCTGTTATCTGTGGCATGAGACGGTTGTGTGGGGTTTATTCCCACTAAAACCCACATGTGGCCACGTTCTGTATCTGTTCGTTTGGAGGGATTCCGGGATATCCTACGGAACGCAGCTGTGTCCCTCGATACTGAACTTAACCACATGAGGGTATCGGAAAAGGATGAACCTTTCCTCACCATCGTGCATAGACCAGCAAGTGTACTTTGCACTATTGCTAGTCCTGGACCCAACGTCTCCTATAAGCCGCCTTTTACGCCAGGTATCCCCACCTTAGTCCTACTCTATGAGCCCGGTAGTACAGGGCTGTGTTGCATGGCCCTACCACAGGTAAAACACTAAAACGTATTCTTTACGTAAGTGCTCAAAATAGGTAAACGCACGTTGTATTATTTAATTAAAATATATAATAAAATAAAGCTAAAGAATACCCGACACTGAAATACAATATTTGACACCATAAACTAGATCCATGCCCTAAGCATTCATTATTCCCTACCTACTGATACAGATCAAAAGCGCTCGTATTTAAATCAGAAATTTTAATTTCAAAAATACCTGCCATAGATTTAAAATATTTTTAAAGAAATAGGTAGCTTGGTTAAAGCGGTAATACAAAAACAATTTCTAGCGAGATATTCCCAGCGAAAGGACGATATTTTGTAAACATTTTACTACGTCCCAGCCTGTGACGATATTGTGGACGCTGTAGTTGCAAAATGGCAGTTTTTACTGCCTTCTGCGCGACCGTTCAGTAATGTTATGTCTTCGACATGGTTGCTGATGTTATTCTTCTGAGTAAAATCAGTACTTTTAAAATTAAAAGAAAAAAGCTGAGTTACAAAAATTGACATCGCTCACTTGCATTTTTGAATTTTAGCCTTGAAACTTAACATCGTCATTTAGTATAAGATTAAATAGTATAAAAATAATAAATAGTACACATCTTCTTCTATATACAGCGTGTCGTTACAACCGCGACAATAAATAAACACAGAAATGAACAGAGGATATCTTTTTAAAATTGTATTAAGCATTTACATTCTTTAAACATCAACATTTAGCGAGTTATTAAATTTTATAAAACAAACATTTTTAAAACACCCTTACGTATAAAACTGTAACGTAAAGTTCATTTAAAAGGTCACGGTGTGTTGCAATGGGTTGAATGAATTTAAAAGAGATAAAACATATTGTTAGAAGGAGAGACTTGTAATGCGACGTTTTGGCAACGAATAATGATAAAAGAATAATAATAAAAGTCTCTGAATGTATGAATTTTAACAAGTAGCGTTAGACCTGTGTTCATTTATTGTCGTGGTTATAATTATTTTAAAAAAAAACCGACTAACTTTAAAATTAAAAAACATTTTTGATTCTTATAACATTTGAGAATTGCCCTCTGGGATTCCATCATCAGATTGGGGCTTCCTTATCATGGTACTACTCTTGGGATATCTCCTTTCCAACAAAAAAGAATCATCAAAATCGGTTCATAAACTACGAAGTTATCCACGAACACACATAAAAAAATAATAATATATACGGTCGAATTGCGAAACCTCCTACTTTTAGTAATAGTTAAGCTTCTTAACACGTTCACGAGCAGTACCTATTAATATTTGATAGACTTCAATATTGTGATAAACATTTTTCCTGTTAAAGTCATTTTACTTTTTGAAGTTTCTTGCAGCACAAAAACAAATGTATAATCACTTAAAAAGAACGAAACATTGTCTCTTACTTATATAAAAATACTAAATATAAAATTAAGGAATTAATTCAATCATATTATAAATAATACTTCACCAGGAAAGAATATTAATAACAAACAACGCTATAAAATAATAAGTCAAATTAATTCTAAAACAATTAAACTAAACGTACACTGCTGAGGCATTGAACGTTTAGTTTAATTGGGGCTCGTCCAATTGCATGGACTTAAAATTATGGTATCTCTTATCGCTAAAGTTAATTGTATTTTAAGTTAAACCGCGGTAAGCCGACGACTAACTAAGGTGGTCGGTCGATACTTTGTTACAAGGTGTGCACAACAGGAGCAGCAACGGGTGACAGTATCGTGAATACCGGCGACGGCAGGGCGTCGACAACTTTGTGGCGACACACCCGATAAGCCCGCAAGTGTACGAGCAACAAACTAACGTCTCTGGAACTTGCCGCTTCGCTCATCAGTCTCCGGGCCCACGCAATTCGAACAATTGACACGGAAATTAATTCAACGTAGAGCCGGCTGTTCTGCAGATTGTTTATTTCGACCACTCGAATCATTGAGTTAGGCTTGCTATAGCTCAAATTTTTGTGATACTTTTTAAAAAATATTGAAAGAAGAAAACTGAATCATCATCATCATCATCATTTCAGCCTGTTTGAGTCCACTGCTGAACATAGGCCTGAAAACTGAATATTAGTTACTAATTTAGTGCACTCGATAAATGTTAATAAGATTTTAACGCGATAAAATCTGTAAAGTATTTTAATTGAACATGTATATAGTATGCAGATAAATACAAGTACATACAAAAAATGTTTTTTTCTGTGTTACTAGTGAGGCCTCAGACACTAACACTAAAACTAACTTTAACACTTCAGGCCTCGTACAGATGCCACGTGTGCCTCGTATAGTGTATTATATTTTATAACGTCCTAAATGCAATATGTCTGATACATATTAAGTGGAATTGTATTACATTCGGTTTTTTGGAAAGCGCAACTACCCTATCCGTATAATCATGTACTCAATTTAATGGGTTTAATGAATGCATCTCAACAATTACTTCAGGACCTATTTTTGCATAATGTTATCTTGTCCTTGTGTTAATGTCCCAAACTAGGCTAAGCTTGTTCTGTGGATACTATGCAACGATGTGCGTACTAGATAAACATACTTTTCTTTTTTAATTAAATACATACTTTAGACAAGCAGCTGCCCGCGACTACATCTGCGTAGAATAAGCTGAAGGCATAACATTCAGACAGAAAGACAGATATACATAAGATATGTTATATATTATATGAATTATAGCCTATGTTTTATTCTGATGTATAAGCTATATTATTGTAAAGTTTAATTAAAATCTATTTAGTAGTATTTGCGTGAAAGAGTAACAAACATCTATCCATACATACAAACTTTCGCGTTTAGTAAGGATATGTAAACACTCAGCTAGTGTCTGGGTAAAAATATTATGTTCGACACACAATATTTTAGTAATATGGATTGAACACACATAAGTTTATTCAAAATAAACCGAAATAAGAAAATCCTTGTACTTTTTACTATGTATTCGTTTACTAAATTCATATATATATTCGTATTTGAATACAATAATAACACTCATACCTATTTATCACCATGCACGCTGAAAAGCTAATCACACATTGCTGGTGATATCGCCTTACCTTTTGGAATGTTTCTATTAAGTTAAATTTCGATCAATTTAAAAATGGTTTAGATTTCGATTTTCTATCGAATAATGGGATTTCACAATATATTTTTGTTAGAGAATACTTTCTGCACGCATTTTCGCAAACTAAAATGTTTTATTACTTATAATATCTCAATTTCAAGTTTAGCTTATTTCCTTTGAAATTTAATTTAGAACATTGTGTATTGGATCCCAATGCATTGTTATTGACAAAATAACAAGGAGCATTAGTGATGTCTTCAGTGTTCAGACGACGAATGAATAAAAATAACCACGTTTACATTTGAATGAAGCCACAAAAAAATATTCGAGATTTCACTTTCTACATACAGCTTTTCTATTAGCCAGATGGGACGTTCCTCTGCTATACAAATATAACAGATTGGTATACGAAACTTAAGAATATACACATGCAAAACACTTGTTTCGTGATCATAGAGTATTCAGAGTAATACGAATATGCAGCCCGTACAAAGAGCTTTGACAAAAAAACGTAATAATGTTAGTTATAAATTCCACTGGTATTTTGGGAGTGTTAGAGGCAACCGGGGCCCACTTTTTTAAAGGTTATCATGGCATCTGAAAGACATCAGATGTTGTAGATGTCCATAGACGACAGAATTCACTTAACATCAGGCAAACCACCTGCTTGCTTCAAAATATTTCACATATAAAAACCGAAACATGAAAACTTTCATTTGTAAAGAAAAGCTGGGCTATTATCGGAAATAAAAAATGTAATACTCGTATAGAGGTGATTTATTATTTATGACAATTTTATGCTAACAGGAGGTGTAGACGCGCCCGAGTTCGGGGAGCCCATAACCAACCTGACGATTCCCATCGGGCGGGACGCGACCTTCAAGTGTATAGTCGTCAATCTAGGCAATTACCGGGTGAGTGTTCTGTAATTTGAGAACGGAATAATAACACACAACACGGTTCTTAACGGAACAAAGAACTATTGACATTTTAGGTATTGGCAAGCTTAATTACCTTTGTTATAATTCCACTTAAATGAATGTCAACAAAAAGAAGTCCATTCGCTTATACTGTGTTATTTTTTCTCAGAGGCTCTCAGTTTACTATCAGGTTGGAGTGTAGTCAATCACTGACCTGATGAAGTTAGCTACTAAAAATATCGCTGCGTACTTGTTTGTTATCCAAATTTTTTAGAGTAGTTAAAGTATAAATTATTGCAGTCTGTACGTACATATTTGTTCCAGTGCTGAGCAAAACCTCCGCCTTACCTAGAGTATGAGAGATGTTATGTTGTCTAGTATCCACCTCAGTGCGGATTGGCCGACTTCACATATTTTTGACACATGTTTGTTTACCAATCACTCTCTAATCTTCTCTTAATATACCGCCTGGCATGCGGTACCTATATGAACGGATGAATCGAATTCATATTTATATTGCTTTAATATACTGAAGTTAAAGTGATTGCAAGCATATAAAAATCAATAGCTCCATGAAAATTCACTGTAATGAATGAACGAAAACAAATGAAAAATAAAGATAAAATAGAAAATTCGGACTGTAATACTTGACGGTATCAGGCAGACATATTTAATGTTAAAAAGGGTGGGAATAATGAAATTTATAGTTTTATAGGTGGAATCGTTTTTTATTACAGACAACAATGCTGTAGTTCGCTACGAGCGTCGAATATTTATAACGCTCTTTGTTCGCCCTTGACAGGTGGGTTGGGTGAAAGCGGACACAAAAGCGATCCAAGCCATCCACGAGCACGTGATCACGCACAACCACCGGGTGTCCGTGTCGCACAGCGACCACTTCACCTGGTACCTTCACATTAAAAACGTCCAAGAGGAGGACCGCGGCCAATACATGTGCCAGATCAATACAGATCCTATGAAGAGTCAGGTGAGTGTCAACGTATAAGTTATTTATATCTTGACTAGCTTCTCGCCCGTGGCCTCGCTCGCGTTGAAGCCCTTAAATAAATATCTTTCTTAAAAAAAATCCAAATAAAAAATAGCCTATGTCCTTTCTCAGGCTCTAGACTATCTGTGTTCCAAATTTCATTTAAATCGGTGCAGTTGTTTTGGCGTGAAAGCGAATCAGACAGACAGCGTTACTTTCGCATTTATAATATTAGTATGGATTTATATCTCAACTTGCATATGATTAGCGTGGCCAGTTTTGATTCAGCCTTATAAATAAATAGGTAGACGGCGAGTAAAGTTCCGCTTATAGATAAGATCATGGCCTTCCATGTTTCATATTTGCTACTAAGTGAGGGGTGGTGGTGTGGCTAATAGATGATTAAGTTTTAAGAAAAATTATTAATCGGATTCGGCGCCAAGGATCGTGAGTTCGATTCCCACACGGGATAACTATTTATGTCCCGCAAATATTTGTTTCGGATCTGGATTTTTGTTCACGTGAAATTTAAATGTATAAAATGTCCTTACAAAACAGGATCTTATCATCCTACTATATTACATAATTATTCTAAGTTAAAGTATGTTGAAAATTTTAATTAAAAATTCTATTAAAGATCCAACACGTGCAAAATTTTTGCTTGGCATCGTGATCTGTCACCGGATGGTAATATAATAATGTGGATATAAATAGTGCTGTGTTAACATATATCACTGTGAAACATTAAAAAAATGAATGTTGGCTTTCTCTGATCTAAATTTTCAAAGTTTTTTAATCTAATAATTTTTGTCATAATTTAATGATAAAATGTTACTTCTCTAGTACTCATAGTATAACATATATATTAAATTATAAATACCATACCCTATTCCAAATGTATTGAAATAAATATCCTAACTAACGAGGGACAGAATAATACTAAAGTTATATGTAAGTTGTTACAAATTTTCTGAGGTCTTTAAGTAAAAATTAAATTTAAACGAAAAAAGATGATTTAAGAAATGAAATTAAATAAAACCTTATTATTTTTATTTAATATTTAAATTGTAAAGACGAAATTAAAATCATTTAGATTAAATTATTTAATAGTTTTTTTTTCTATTTTAATTCTAATATTAGAGAAACCTAAAAATCTTTCGTTATTTCAAATTTTATTTAAGCTGAAGCTAAAATAAAAGCTAAATAAACTCTAGCATTTAAAACTTTCTTAACTTATAATTAAGAATTACATTTTAAAAGTGAGTCTATTGAAATTTGTTAAATAGTTTGGTGCGTATGTTTGATATATGTTTACAGTTAAAGAATATCATTAAAAGTTTGGTGGAGTTTTTCTAAATGATAGAGTTTGTTACCACGGGTCATAAGTGATATCTGGATGTTGTCCTTGTTTAAATTAACCGCCTAGGATTATCCTATTTTTTTTTCTCAAAAAGGGTTATAGGACTGATAATTAAAATAGCAAGAAAATATAAAAAACACCGAAAATATGAATGCTATAGGCATTAATGTTTTGTCAGATATTAAATGATACTTTTATACTTCATAATAATATCAATTCAAATAATTATACACAAAACTAGACATTTATCCATTTGTTACAGATGGGTTTTCTTGAAGTTGTAATTCCGCCTGACTTTATACCAGAAGAAACATCTGGTGATACAATGGTGCCTGAAGGAGGTACGGCGAGAGTCTCCTGCAAGGCACGAGGAATTCCTCCGCCACGCGTTATGTGGAAACGTGAGGACGGGCAAGAAATCGTAGTGAGAGATCAAAGTGGATCTAAGACTAAAGGTTTTACTTTCATTTCGTATTCCGCATAAAAATCTAGCCTGGGGATTATGGAATTTATTTGACTGGAACTATAAACTAGTTCCAGTCAAATAAATTCAATAATCTAGAAGGCAGAAAAATTCGTGCTGTTTATATACAAATTTTTATTCAAGTAGGTACATATTTATAAAAATACTAAACCAAGAATTAATATAATATTTCAAATGATTTATATATTTACCGTTTCGTTCAGTATAATTTTACCTCCGTTTTTCATAAATGCTTTGGGTAAGGTTTCATTGGAGTATTGTTTTACAAATTACTGTTGTACGAAAGCAATCCGATTCCCCTTGAACAATCCGACAACGCAACTGATAACATCAACATTCAGACACGCGACCACAGCATAATAGTGCTTAAAAGATCGTGTTATTTTCTGATGGCAGGCTCATAACAATTTCTAAAATAATAATGGAAAACGTTATGCTCCAAATCCTTTACTTATTTGTCACGTGGATTTAAGAGAATGTTAACGTCTGAATTGCAATTGTACAATGACAAGCCCGTTCTTGCAGACAATATTGTGCCGCTGGAACAAGAAGTTGACCCCAAAATTTCACTTAACTCGGCTAGCTGCAGGAAAAATATTTCATTTGTCTTAGTTTATTTGAATAGTGCAAGGACAGCATTGTTTTTCTGAATATGTATAATAATACGAACGTCTGTGTGACCGCATTTGTGAGGCCACAATGAGCTGCGCGGTGACTATTCTCGGGATGAGTTTTGCGTCCAGTATTGTTTAAAGTTTGTCGTAATTAGTAGAGTTTTGCGTTGAATAGACTTCTAGGTCTCATTGTACGAATAGTGAAATCCTTGAAAAGATCACTTAAAAATTTTATTGGTACCGAATTTGGACAGTTTTCTTACAGAAACTGCAATAAGTAGGTACTAACATGCTGTATTTTATTCCAACTACAAATTTGCAGCTTAAAGATCTAACCTAAAGTTAAAATGTTATATAAAATAAATACCCAAAATATTATTTCGTATAGTCATTTTCAATTTCATCATCTATGGAATCACAAAAAACGCATACGCATTGCTTCACTTTGATAGAAATATATAGACGAAAATTAACTATCCTTCAGTGTTATTCTACTATGTGCTTTGCTTGACCAGTAGGCATCCGGTCTTACGTTAAAGTTGTACTCCAGTTGTTCCTTACGATTAACATTAAAAAAGTTCAATATTTTCACAGTACTGTCATACCAAGGGGAGGTATTGAAACTGACAAAGATTTCGCGTTCTGAAATGGGCACATATTTGTGCATTGCAAGTAACGGAGTTCCACCTACAGTAAGCAAGAGGATTCACATAAGCGTTCACTGTAAGTAATGGCGTTTTCAACGATTTTGTTATAGCGTGTAACCCTGAACATTAATTATGTTAAAATCTAATTGATTTATTTATTATTCTTGTATTACAAATTATTCAGAACTACGTAAATTTTAGACATAATATTTATTTAAAAGTAGAGACAGAATTAGAATTAAATATTTCTTTGAAATCTATACCGTTATTTCACAGCTTGTTATCGGTTACAAAATATTCGGCTGATTTTAATCGTAGCCTTAAATTCTTTATTTTTTGTACCTATGCGTATAGATTAACAACGTGTTTTTACGGTGGTAGGGCCACGCAGCAGCCTCGGCTGTTGCACGAATGGGCAGGCCCGTCCGGGTAAGTACCACGACCTCACAGAAGACCAGCGTAAAGTGGAAGTATGACAAATACTTTCACGTTTCGTCTGGTGAGTGAGGTAGCCGGAGCCCAATGTTCAAAAGGTTGTCAACGCATTTGTAACCCTCGGGTGTAGCAGATGTCCATGGGCGGCGGTATTCACTTACCATCAGGTGAACCGTCAGCTCGTTTGGCAACTTTTCACATAAAAAAACAAGATTAATAATTTATTATATAATGTTCCTATTTCGCAGTTCATCCCGTAATCCAAGTTCCTAATCAACTTGTTGGAGCGCCCCTTGGTACTGATGTCACGCTTGAGTGCTATGTTGAATCTTCTCCAAAATCAATTAATTACTGGGTAAAGGATCCAGGTAACATCAAGGCAAAATTTAAGCAATTCTAGTCATTATTAGTCAAAAATAAATATGTTAATGAAAGCTAGTACCATATTTTTGTCTGACAGCCCTAATAAGAAACCAAACAAATTATAACACAGCCATAAAACTCTTAGGTGTCTGCACCAAGTTTTAACATTTTTCATAAAACTTTCCGCAAAGAAGATGAAATTCTAATATCGAATTTGAAAGTAAGAATTTTTAGTAATAAATTGTTTCGCAGGTGAGCTGATAATACCATCTGAACATCACGAGATGACTGTGAGACAAAAGTCTATGTTTGAGGCAGAAATGTCCATGACAATCAAGAGAATTCGACGTGAAGACCTAGGAAGTTATATTTGTGTAGCCAAGAATTCTCTCGGAGATGTCGAAAGCAAGATTCGTTTGTATGGTAGGACTTTTTGCTTTTTGTTTTTGACTCATTTGTACACAACGTTCTCTAGTCCCAACCTAAGCAACGCTTGTACTATGTGTACTATATAACTGATAAACTACTAAAGATAATTTTCTTTTATAAATTAATACATATTATCGTGTATAGGGTGTATATTGTCTGGATGTTTATTCACATAAACACCCAGACACTGGAAAAACACTACGTTCACCACACAATATTTTTCCCGTAGTAGGGATCGAACCCACACTCTCTGGCGCAAGAGGCAGGTTCACTACTCAATACGCCAATCGGGTCGTCAATTATTTAGATTATTTCTCTTAATTACAGTGGATAATTATTACATAGATTTAAAAAAACGTTCTACGTTATTACTCACACTGTTAATGCAAATTATGTTGTCTATACTACAAAACATTAAATGAATTACAATTTACAATATGACTTTTTTCAAAACAGAAATACCGGGCAACGACCGACATATCTACCAATATCCAGATGAGAGAACAACATCAGATGATGAATACGGAACAGAGATTTACGATGATGATGAAATTCCGAACAACAATGAAAACGAGAAAAGCAATAGAGTGCCGGATCGTGCAAATAAATGGTACTCAAATGATGGTAAAATTGTTGGCGGTGGTCCTCATAATTCATCTATAATTTTAACTGCAACACTAACCACTATAATGATCTTCCTTCTTGTTGCGGTCATATAATTGCTAACTAAGATACAACGATGGTAATTAAGTCAACAATTGCAGCTGAACTCAACTTTTTCTATCGATTTTTGAAATATCAGATCTACCTGTAAGTGTTGACACCGAGTTGCGTTTACTTGTTAGTGCAATTATCTTGAAGTAAGCTTTATAATCCACAACCAATAAAATAAATAAAACTGGAATTTTTATTTAGATAGCATGAAAAATTTATAGTAAAATTATAAGTGTTGCGACCTACTACTCTCTTCATTTATTATTTAAAATGTAACGTGATAATAATTAGGATAACACACTATTGTACAATAATAATTAACTATAAACTGATTATTATAAAATACTTATAAAAATATCAATAACCAGTCTTGAAAAAATTTGTCAAAAAGGAAATAAGGAATGTTTACATCAAATGTTCTTCGAAAGGATAATGCCATTGTACATAGCTTTAATTAAGTAGATCAGGATTTGTAATAAAATAATAATCATAAATAATTTATTGTATGCGAAGTTCCTTTCCCGGAATAAAATTACTGACAAAAACAAATTAGCCAAAGTAATATTCAAGTATCAAAAATATAGTTTATAGTGTATGAATATTTAAAATTAATGTCTTTCAATTACTTTCGGTTATACAATTTTTCAGAAGACGAACAATTTGTATTTTTATGGCCATTTCTACTTGTTTAAAAAAACATAATGAGTAAGTATAGTTATAATAAACTTTTGTTACTGTGATCTATTTTCGTTTTGTTGAAGTGTACTTACTTAACAATATATATATATAATTTGTAATGAAATGTTTCTGCTTAACTATGTTTTAAGTCATACGTATGTTAAAGACATAATCGTTGTAAAATAAAAATAAAACTGAGGAATTGTAACCATGGATACTGTCTTTATTTTAATTATGCTATAAAAAATAAAGTCAAAAATTCGTTTTTTTATGCCCTATATGCGCAATGATTCAAATTGAAAATGAATTACAGCTTTCGACGTGCCTACATGTTTACTTTGTATTGACTTGAGTTATATATAACAAATTGAAATTCAATTAATTGCCATCAAACGTAGAATACATCACAATATTAATAGGAAGTAAGTACTTTTTGATGTCGAAATGATATTATGTTCTCTTCTGTGCTGGCGACGTTGAATTGTTAATGATGGAAAATAAATTAACTATTTATTAAAGAGGTACCGAAAAGCTTCATTTAAACATTTGATGTGTTTTATACAACAAGGTTCAAGAATGTTTATCTCAATTTATGAGATTGGTTAAAGTATATCATATCGTGTAATATATTTAATGCCTGCTAACATCAGTTAACATAAGAGTGAGTTTTTAATAAATACATTAAAATAAATAAGAAGAAGTGTGAAATGAATCTATTTAGCGCAGATCGGTATAAAAATAAATAATTAAATGATTGACGATAGTCCGGGTTAACTCTAACATTAAAACTTGAAACTCGCTTTGTCCCATGATCATGAACGCTGGAAAGGGTTCGAAACGTCAGGACTTTAAAAATATAATTAAACGCGATAAAACCCGTAAAATGGTTTCATTTCACATTGTATCGCGTAAAAACAAGAAATCAATATAAGAAGAAATTACTAACTGTTAAATTATAACTGTTAGCGTATGTTTCCTTCAAAATAATTCAGAAGAATACGGGCGAAGAGTTATCGCCATTATTTTTCCTCGAGAGAAGAGGGAGCTCGAACAAACGACCTTAATTTGGCCAATCTAAACATAGCAAAGCAAAAGTGATTCATGGCCCTTGCCATTCGTCCTGATTATGTAACAAGTGTTTTTTACATGTCTGTAATCAAGACTATTATTATTAACGAAGAAAAGCTCTGCTGACTACAACATTTGTCTTATGTGATAAGAGGGAAAACGAGATGGCGATATAACTTGCGTTAAGTGGTGATACATCATTACAACACCCATGGAATTGCAAATACGTCTTAATATTTTAAAGTTTTAAGCAAGGATAAATTATTAAATTAAACAAATATCTGACTGTATTAAAATACGTAATCAGATCTATCTCTCCAACTATCCCAAAGGGTAAAACGAGAACCCCCAGATGATGTTTTTCTGTTACCGCTATAACAACTAAAACAGAATAAAAAAAAATTAAGCAGGGCTCCGATACATACAACAGTCATGATTTTTTTAATCTATTTTTTATAGATAATGGTACGGAACCATTCGTACACGAGTCCGACTCCCACAAGGCTTTTTGATTTTTGTTGAAAACCATATTATAATAATATTATATTGAAATCCATCAAAAAGTTAGAATCGCAAGAAAAAATTTACCAAAGAAATTGTGTACATACAAAATATATACATACATATGTATGTTTATATATATGTACGCTTGAAAAATATTACCCACTTCGGCAGTCAGGGGAAAGTAGGCCAGTTAACTCACTCACTAAACGAAACGGAGAAATACAATTATTCATATCACTTCTGTATTATTTGAGGTTAGACGTCCCCAGATGGGCCTATCTACCATACAACTGGAAAATCTATTTTTAAAATAATCAATTTCCACCAAACCACCAAAAGTGTGTTGAAGTTCACAATCTAATTAAATCGAATCTATAGGCGAATACTGCACATTGTTGAATAAAATTAATCTGCATGTTTTTTGTATTTAATTTTAGTTCTAACTCCCGTCGTTTCTAACAATTCACAGATTTCATGGACGTGGACAGACTGGGACGTTATAGCTTTTACGTCCATGAAAAAATTTGAAAAATTCAGGTGCGTTCTGTGACCAAAGACTCTGTAAAGTGTTCAAAATGCCTGTAAGTAAAAATGAGAAAAATATACGTAATTTTATTTAACAATATTTAACACTTCTGGCCATGATCGGCCACGAAACTAAAATACCATAAAATAGAGATTGAAACAAAAAAGGAAATTTAGAATAAAAACTCTACGTACTCAATGTACACCGAAGTGCATCAAACAAAGTAGAATGCAGACAAAGGGGTTCATTTTTGCTACTCGTTTTAAAGACAAAATTGCTGATGTTAGCGCGACGTAACGTTGCTAGTCGTACTGTGAGGAGTGTACGGTAGAACAGGTAATTGATTTACATGATCCGTCTATAAGTTAGTCCTAGAATGAAATAAAATTATTTTGAACATTTTAGTTACATTTAAATTGTTTAAACTCTTCTATGTTTGTAATTAAACTATTTAAACAATAAGTTGTTGTTAAAGTTAAGCTCTCTATAACATCTATGTATGGTGCAATCACTCAATCTAGTTTTAGGTTTTTCAAATTTCTTACGTAAATAAATAAATTAAAACACAACCAGGCTGAGCATCTGTCTAAAAAATAATAGGATATCCGTCAATATTGGTGTATTTACAATATACACATAATATATGTAAATAAAGATCTATCTATTTTGGTGGTAATGTAGAGTAAGCGGAGGATGGGTAGCCTCGCTCGCTGAGCGGCGCACCACGAGAATGTCACTGAAGCGACGCGTGCTGTTCATCCATTATCTATTAGTGGTGTGCCATGGAGTGCTACTACTGCAGTATTAGAAAGCAATAAACAACGTAATAAGAACAAATTCTTCGTCCTGTTAATTACATCATAAATCCATGTAAATTATTGAATGTAAATAATAATGCTTACACTACACCAAAACAATGAATAATCGAACATGGGTGTGGCGTACCTTCATACTTTTCCTCTTCTTTATATTTCTTCCACAGTTACATTTAACAACATATACAGTGAGGCTTTTCTAAGTGTATTCATTTTTTTATTAAATTCTAGACATAAATAATTGTATATAAAAATGATAAATATTTAAATATTTATGCGTGATTTATAGGCAACTCATTTATTTTACCCACGATCATTCATAACTAATACACATACAAGTTCGTTTTGAAATTATACGACGCCAATATGAATTAATACCGCTTTGTCAACAAGTTTTGTTTTTTAGTGAATGGAATGGCAATTCTTTTGAAAAAAAAAGTTTGTTTTTATTTCAATAAACAATTATACTACCGAGCCTGAACCTCCTGTGTGAATTTGGGCACCTTTAGGAAAGCCACCCTGTATATTACAATTATACATTCGTCATATAATATATTAATAACATTTACATTATTTGTATTTATTATGGTAAACATTTATAGTATATATTATATGTCAATTTCATTAAAGTATCGACAATCAAATCTATCGACAGCGACCGAACGCTATCATCGTCCTGCAAGTTACTACACCGCGCCAAGTAAATAGCGTTATGTATCGCGATGCGTTCGCGCAGCTGACCCCAGGTCTCAAGCAAGATGCAGCATCTGGCGTGCTCAAAGGCTGCTTCTGGATCCTTTTGTCCCGCTTTGTGAGAGTTTTCCGGCTGGTCATAGACTACCGTGGTAGTTAAATAGACTTCGGACTCAGATTGGCCGAAGCAAGGAAAATATGTTCCGGTGGGGACTCTCAGAAAACTCAGACCTGGACTGTATGTGTGGAGCAGTGCAGTCCATGACTCATCTAATGTACAGGACATTCCTGCCTGCCCTTTCACCTGTTCGCAGCAGGATTTGATGGACGCCACAAATTCTGCTGTCGAAGTGGCTAAGTTCTGGGCCTGAAGGATATGATTTGTCATCGACACGTAAAGAAGATGAAGAATAATCGAACAAAGATTGATTTTGGTTAAAAATAATTATTATATATATTGTTTTATTTTTATTTTATTTCATTTTATTTATTTCAAAAACACTGCCCTTATTTTAGGATAATATTATCCTGTGTTGTAAAAGACGTTTTACAAACATAAATTTCACGCGGACAAACACCCAGATGCGAAACAACTATCTGTGGGTCACACAAATAGTTGTCCCGTGTGGGAATCGAACCCACGACCCCCGACGCCGAAGTCAATACCTTGGCAACTGCGCCACGGAGTCATCTGACGATATTATATAGGTATTGTCTT